GGAGCTATAGATATTCGCCATTATTGCAAAAGCAGAATTTCTGGTACTTCTTTCTTGATGGGCTATGCATTTTCTTTTTTCTTTTTCTTAACAAATTGTACAAAATACAGACATTAGCATGAACCCTTTCCACTGTATTTGCAATAGGCCCACTGAACGCAACAGATTTCAGTTAGCTAGGCCCCATTTGATTTCCACGGATATAAAGTCAATGTATTCATTCTCTTTGCTCATGTTTTTGGTCTGTTTTATTCTCTTTTGTGCATATAAATCACAGCCAGAGAAATCAGCAAAAATGAAATCAAGGCACCTGAGGAATAATTCACGTCTATTTACATATCAACATAGATGGAGAAAGAACACAAGGACACAATAATATATCGACGGCAAAAGCTGTGCATAACTGTCACAAAAGAAACACTGAAAACCACAAGTCAGGAAATCCAGTTCAACTCAGGGAGAAGTACAGGAGAAAAACTTAGAAAGTGAGATGAACAAGTTACAATTTATACCTTCAAATATTCTTTACACGTATTTCTGGAATGCCTATAATCTCTGACCAAAATGCAAACTAGACGTTGTTGGGGACATTGAGGGCTCCTCCTTATCATCTTTGGATAAACGATGTTGTTAAAAAAAATTAACAGGATTGGAATTCATAGCACCAGAAAGTCCAGCAGTTTGTGAGCTTGGCTCACAAGAACCAAGACAAGAATTAAGAGGCTGTAGCCAAGAGGTAAGATGGTTGGCACATCTCACTGAACCCACAAACAAGGACTAAAGTCAACATCATAAAACAAATTTGCAAACTTGCTTTCTAAAACTCCATTATGCTCCATAGTTCTGCTCATTGAAAGCTTCAGTTTACTAACATTTCTATCTTACAGCATTAATAGATATGGAATTCAATCCAGAAGGCAAGGGTTGGGATTAATACAGGTACAGCCAGTCCTTGACTTACAACCACAATTGAGCCCAACATTTCTGCTGTTAAGTAAGACATTTGTGAAGGGAGTTTTGCCCCCATTTTACACAGTTGTTAAGTAAATCACTGCAGTTGTTAAATTAGTATCACCATTGTTAAGTGAATCTGGCTTCTCCATTGACTTTGCTTGTCAGAAGGTCGCAAAAGGGGATCATGTGACCCCCTCCGGGACGCTGCGACCGTTGTAAATATGAGCCAGTTGCCAAATATCCAAATTTTGATCATATGACCACTGGGAGGCTGCAACGGTTGTTAAGCGTAAAAAATGGTCATAAGTCACTTTTTTCAATGCCATTGTAACTTTGAACGGTCACTAAATGAACTATTAAGTCGAGGACTACCTGTAGTCCTCGCCTTATGACTGTTTTACGAATTTGATTGAAGCTATGACGGAATCCAAAAAAACTACTAACAACACATATTTTAAGTTCTAATGTCACTCCTCCCTCACAGTCACATGACTGTATTTTGGGTCCTTGGCAACCAGCCCACCCTTAAGTGTTTTTTTGAAATACCCCACTGTCCTATGACCACGATTTACGATACTTTTTACCAGATACTAGTGTTTTACTAGCAGTTTCCGGTAAAAACTGCACCAGAGTGAACAATAGGTTAACTTAACAACCATGGTATTCGCTTAATGACAGTGGCATTTACTTTATGACCATGGTGTTTGCTTAACAACCGCTGCAAAAAAGATCACAAAATTGGGTCCGGTCACTTGGTAACTTATTTTATGACCATCATGACTTAAAATCAAACTTCAGGGCTCAATTACTGTTGTAGCTCAAGGACTACCTGTCTTATTACAGGCAAGAATGAATGTGCATTAAAATGGTAAAAATATACAATACTCAAGTACAGGAGTCCCCAACCCCTGGCCTGTGGGCCGGTACCGGGCCATGGCATGCCAGCAACCGGTCCGCACAAACAAGCAAAGCCCCATCCGTGGGATGCAGGCAGCACACAAAACCACACACTCCCCGGTCCGTGGAAAAACCTCTCTCCACGGAAGTGATCCCTGGTGCCCAAAAGGTTGGGAACCTCTGCTCAAGTGTGTCTAAGATCAATAAAATATAGGTTGTTCCTCACGGTTTTTCTGCTTTTATTATAGTAACTGGTGTTTTTTTAGCTGCTCAGTTTAAATCCATAAAACGAGCAAAATGTAGATTATGCCTTTAGCCAGATTGTATTATCATCAGATGTTTAGGCAGTCCTCGACCACAATCGAACCCAAAGTTTCTGTTGCTATGTTAAGGGAATCACTGCAATTGATAAGTTAGTAACATGGCTATTAAGTGAATCTGGTTTCCCCATTGATTTTGCTTGTCAGAAGGCTGCAAAAACTGGTCACATGACCCCAGGGCATTGCAACCGTCATAAACACAAGTCAGTGGCCAAGTGTCTGAATTTTACCACAGGATCATAGGACGCTGCAACAGTTGTGTGAAAAACCATCATAAATCATTTTATGTGCCATTGTAACTCTGAGCAGTCACTAAATGAATGGTTGTTAAGTCAAAGACAATCTGTACTATATAATTACTCCAAAAAGCATAAATTCATCACGCAATCTTTGCTTGTTTTAGTTTTTAATCACTGTAAAAATAGCCCACGAAATATGTTTTTCCCCTTATTTTAAGGATCTTGTGCTGAAGGCACAAGGGAGTGAAGAATCAAACGAAGCAAAACAAGACAAAAAAAATCTTGCTTTCTGAGGGTGATTTCTCATCAGCCCAGAATTAAGTGAAATATTTGTTAGACATACACATTTGCTTAAAGTACACAAGGACTTCAATCTCACAGGATTTAGCTCAGAAATTGGATCAGTGGCAGAGGAAATATAATTAATTATACCACCACAGGAATTTTTAATTTTCTGGGAAATATTTAAACCAGCAATTTGCAACACGAATCAAGAAAAAATGGCAGAGAATAAGTTGGGCTCTGGTGGGTTGGTAGCTTTGTATATAAAAGTCCTTGACTTATGACCGTTCATTTAACCAAAGTTATAATAACCTCAGAAAAAAGTGATTTATGATCTTTTCCCCCATTTATTACTCCTGCGTTTCATGATCACTATTCGAGTGTGTTTGGCAAATGAGATAATTTTGACGGCTGACCTGACTGAGATTTGCGATCTATCCAGCTGCTTTCTGAAAAAAAGGAAAAAAAAATCAGTGGGGACAGATGGATTTGTTCAGCGCCCATGGTAAAAATGACCCAGTCATGTAATGACTTGTTTTATGACTGCACGGACATACATTGGGAATCCCAGTCTCAAGTATGGTTGTAAGTCGTAATTTGCTTTCTTTTAGCAACAATCCAGACCTATTTTCCTTGATATATCTGATCTCTTTTGGCCTTGAAAGCTCACTTGTCCATATGGAAAATTGTCTCTTTCAAGGTTTTAATCTTGTTTATTCTGTCCTTTTCACTGTTTTACAGTATTTGTATGCTTGGGTCACTGCACCGAGGACAGGCAGTGCTGATCTGAATGGGATTTGGGCAGAGATTTGGTAATCTTAACTTCTGAGGCAGTTGTCATATTAGATTGAACCAGGGATCTTCAAACTTGGCCCTTTTATGACTTGTGGACTTCAACTCCCAGAATTCCTCAGCCAGGCAAGGGCCAAGTTTGAAGATCCCTGCTTGCGGACTTCAACTCCCAGAATTCCTCAGCCAGGCATGCTGGCTGAGGAATTCTGGGAGTTGAAGTCCACAAGTCATAAAAGGGTCAAGTTTGAAGACTCCTGCTTGCGGACTTCAACTCCCAGAATTCCACAGCCAGGCATGCTGGCTGAGGAATTCTGGGAGTTGAAGTCCACAAGACATAAAAGGGCCAAGTTTGAAGACCCCTGTATTAGATTGAACGGTTCTCTCATTCATCAAGCTGAAATAAATGGGCATTTCTTTCACCTGATGCATTTCAGCTAATCCAGCAGGAAAAACTATTCCTCCCTGGAAAATTTTGTTGTGGTAGTTTTTTGGTTTTTTTTAAAAAAAGTTAAGTATCTACTTTGTTTAAAAATAAATAAATAAATAAGTTGATCACAAATTATTTTGTGGGAAAGAGCAACTTTTCACTCAGTCACAGAATCCATCTCTTCACCCAACCCATTAATAAAGTTAATGCTGATATCTTATGCATAAACAATCGCAGAATGCTGTTTTTGGTAGGTGGGAGAGTTTTGTGAAACCCCTCAGACCACAAGCCTGGGGATATTTGATTTATTTAATTTGCAATGATGGTGGGCGAAGCAAGGAGCGGGGGGGGGTCTGCCCTCTTTAACAACCTTGTGATTTTAGAAGAAAACTAAACATAAGTCATGAGATTTAGCAACAGCAGACAACTGCCGTCTGTGGTTCCAACAAAATATTTAACACGCGATTGGGATATAACTTTTTTTCCCCTTCCTTTTTAGAGCCAAAGGTTTGTGGAGAAGCCCCCTATGCGCCTAAATTTCTCTAGCGTTTTTATTCAAGCTGATTATTTTGTAAGTGATTCTATGAACCAAAGAGCTTTTTTCAAAGGATCCTGGAAATGGGATCCCTCTGAGCTCTCCTTTGGCAGACAACAACCAAGCTGAAATCCCAATATGAAATCCCATATTGGGATTTCATCAATTTTACTCAAGTGTTCTAAGTCAAGAATCTACCAGATTCCTTCATCTTGTTCCTTAGCGGCGGATCCAATCCATTCAATTCTCATTCAGAAAGTTACCTAAGCAGAGAATCTGTCAATATTCACAAGGCACGCGGAGCTCTATTAACGGCATCAACTGTTTGCCAAAACCTCCTTTTTCACTGATCATCCAGACGACCAAAGATGGAGGTTCAGCTTAAAGGCACCACAAGACACAGCCAATGAGGCCTGACAGAAAACAACACAGCCCAGGCAGAAGCAACCCAAGGGAGGCTGAATGGAGAATCACACAGGTCTCCGTTGTCGTTCACACCTTTTCTTTGGGTGTGAAGTCTTTGGTTTCTCTTTCTCTTCCAGCAGGAAAGCCCGCTAGAGGCTGAAGTTCACAAACGGATGCCTCAAAAGGTCTTCTGCGGTGGGCCTCCGCTTTTCTTCTACAAAGATCAGCTTGAGAAAGTTGCGGCAGTACTCCGAAACCCCGTCGGGAAGCTGAGGCTTGGTTGGCTGGGTGGCAATCTTGAAGATGGCAGCCATGGCTTCATATTCTGCCCACGGTGGTTTCTCAGTCAGCATTTCTACCACAGTGCAGCCCAAACTCCTGAGGAAGAAGACCATGGAGGGGGGAAAATGGGTTTATTTCTGCAACACTTGTGGAAGCCAAAGAGGACTCCACACCCTCCTCCTTGGTTTCCTATCGTGTCAAGCCTGTAAAGAAAGCAGGACTGGGAAAATGGACCTTACCACACGTCAGCCTTCCTTCCGTAGCCTTCTCCACTGATCACCTCTGGGCTCATCCAGTAGGGGGTTCCCGTGACAGATTTCATCCCCGTTCCAGACATGCAGATGGTCTGAATGCGTTTGCTGGCCCCAAAGTCTCCTAGTTTCACGTTCCCAACAGAATCTCTCAAAATGTTGGCACCTAAGTTGGGAAAGGGAGGAGGGAAGAAGAAGGAGGAACAAAAATGATCAGGGGACTGGAGGCTAAAACATACAAGGAACGGTTGCTGGAATTGGGTATGTCTCGTTTAATGAAGAGAAGGACGAGTGGGGGACATGATAGCAGTGTTCCAGTATCTCAGGGGCTGCCACAAAGAAGAGGGAGTCAAGCTATTCTCCAAAGCGCCTGAAGGCAGGACAAGAAGCAACGGATGGAAACTAATCAAGGAGAGAAGCAACCTAGAACTAAGGAGAAACTTCCTGACAGTTAGAACAATTAACCAGTGGAACAACCCGCCTCCAGAAGCGGTGAATGCGCCAACACTGGAAGTTTTTAAGAAGAGACTGGACAGCCATTTGTCTGAAATGGTATAGGGTTTCCTGCCTGAGCAGAGGGTTGGACTAGATGACCTCCAAGGTCCTTTCCAACTTCTTCTTCTTCTTCTTCTTCATCATCATCATCATCATCATCATCATCATCATCATCATCATCATCATTAAGGCAACGAAGAGAAGATAGACAAAGAAGGGGAAGAAAGATGAAGGAGAAGGAGGATAAAATAGACAAAGAGGAGAAGGGAAAGACAGAAGAGGAAGAAGATGGAGGAGGAGAAGATGGAGGAGGAGGAGGAGGAGACAACAGAGAGTCAGCAGCAAGTTGCCAAGATATTGCTATATATCTTGAATTCCATCTCCCTTAGTTAAGTGTCTAGTGGTCAGTGTTTGATTGCATACAATGAAGATTGAAATAATGACAAGGCAACGTATTTGTTGCATATTCAGGGCCATGAACACGCAACCCTTTGGAAACTAAACTCGATCAGCATCCAAAACAAATCTCACATATTTTCTCTAGCAGCTTCAATTTGGGGGGGGGGGGGTGGTTGGTCCCCAATTATGTGAAAAACTCCTGTTCTTCAACAATTACAACCTTCGTCATATTACACAAGAATCTTTATGTGCCTGTACTAATGTACTAAAAAAATCTGTATTATTAATAAAATAATATGCTTATGTGTCCATATTTTAAAAATGCATAATGCTAAATAATATGGTTTGTGCCTAGCTCAGGGGTAGGCCACCTTGGCTCTTTTATGACTCGTGGACTTCAACTCCCAGAATTCCTCAGCCAGCCATGCTGAGGGGAAAGGGAGAGGTTTCCAAGCTGAGCCATGCTGGCTCAGGAATTCTGGGAGTTGAAGTCCACGAGTCATGAAGGGACCATAGTTCCCCCATGCTGGCTCAGGAATTCTGGGAATTGAAGTCCACAGGTTGTAAAGTTGCCATAATTGTTCACCAATGAGCTAGCCCAGGGGTGGACAACCTTGGCTCTTTTATGACTCGTGGACTTCAACTCCCAGAATTCCTGAGCCAGCCATGCTGAGGGGAAAGGGAGAGGTTTCCAAGCTGAGCCATGCTGGCTCAGGAATTCTGGGAGTTGAAGTCCACGAGTCATAAAAGAGCCAAGGTGGCCTACCCCTGGCCTAGCTCATTCATTTCCTTTATATCAATGTTGCAGCAATCCCTTATTTGTAAGCCATGTTTTAATTAGATAAGATAACCTTTATTGACATTTTTTTACTGTGGGCACACTGGCCTACATTAAAAATGAAATTCTATTCCCTTGTCTCAAAAATTAGCATATCCTTTCTGGCATAAAACTCCTGTTTTTTGGTTAGAAAAGTTCTTACATTAATCTGGGGCGGCATTTTTCCTTCCTTGTTCTAATTCAATTTGATAAAAAGAGATAAAAGAAAATTTGCTTTAAATATGTTTTAAGGAGGGGCTGATTTGAAAGAGATTCTGATGGATAGATACAGATAGTCCTTGTCTTACAACCGTTAGCTTAGTGACCATTCGGAGTTACAACGGCACTGAAAAAAGTGACTTATGACCATTTTTAACACTTACAACCGTTGCAGCATCCTCATGGTCACGTGATTTATATTTGGATGCTTGACATCTGACTCACGTTTATGACGGTTGCAGTGTCCCAGAGACATGTGATCCCCTTTTGCGACCTTCTGACAGGAAAAGTCAATGGGGAAGCCAGATTCACTTAACAACAGTGTTACTAATTTAACAATTGCAGTATTCACTTAACAAATGTGGCAAGAAAAGTTGTAAAATGGGGCAAAACTCACTTAACAAATTTCTTGCTTAGCAACATAAATATTGGGCTCGATTGTGGTCGTAAGTTGAGGACTATCTAGATTGAGATGGACTTGCCCTAATTTACTGACAAGATGGGTCAAAGATGTATATAATTTCCCTTAAATGCCAAAGAAAGATGTTAAATAATGTTTTAACATTATTCAACCATTTTAAAATCCGTGGACTTCAACTCCCAGAATTCCTCAGCCAGTGTGGGAAAATCCGCCATCTTAAAGTTGCTGAGGTTGAAAAACATGGCACTAAAAAATATTTTCTGTTTTTCTTGTTTATTCCCCAGACTGGGAAAGTGGACCACAAAGGATGATTCAGAATAATACAACGCCGTATCATAGTGAACCCTTTTCACTTCCCGTGATACGATCAGCTCAGATTACTAGCAAGAAGCACGTTTTAGAAAAACTCTTAACATCCTGCAAATAAATTAGGAAAATAAAAGTCGTTTTCATGGTGGGGGATGTAATCTTTGTGAAATTGCACTGTGGATTTCATCACAGCCTTAATTTTCATTCCGGGCTCCATCAAGTTGGAGAATTTTCTCTTTCTGTTTGGTCCTTGAAGCATCTTGGGATGACCTACGCCCCCTGAGATGGCATGTTGAGCCTACCTTTAATGTCTCTGTGTACAATCATGTTGCTATGGAGGTAGGAAACTCCTTGAAGGATCTGCCTTGTGTATTTACGAGTCACATTCTCTGTCAAGGCCCCATAGGCTTTTAGCTGGTCTTTGATAGAACCCTAAAAAACACACAAGAGATCAATATTTGATTAGTTTCTTGGCTTCCTAAAACTCTATACCTTCTGAAAAGTTTTGTCAGCTGCTGGGGCGCTAGCCATAGTTTAAAAGGCAAAAATAATCATTAAGAGCCGTGCTGGCACAGTGGTTAGAATGCAGTCTTGCAGGCTGACTCTGCCCACTGCCAGTAATTTGATCCTGACCAGCTCAAGGTTGACTCAGCCTTCCATCCTTCCGAGGTTGGTAAAACGAGGACCCAGACTGTTGGGGGCAAATAGGCTGACTCTGTAAACCGCTTAGAGAGGGCTGTAAAGCACTGTGAAGCGGTATATGTCTACCTATCTATCATCCATCCATCCATCCATCCATCCATCCATCTATCATCTATCTATCTGAACAAATCTAATATGCTGACTGTAAACTGCTTAGAGAGGGCTGTGAAGCACTGTGAAGTGGTATATGTCTAAGTGCTATTGCTTGCTAGCTACCTACCTACCTACCTACCAATCTGAATGAATCTAAATGACGACCCAGATTTTGGGGGGCAACATGCTGACTCTGTAAACCGCTTAGAGAGGGCTGTAAAGCACTGTGAAGTGGTATATAAGTCTAGGTCAGTGATGGCGAACCTTTTAGAGACCGAGTGCCCCAAAACCGGCCCCACCCTGTCCCGCCACCCGCTCCGCCCCCGTCCTGCCCGTTCCACCCCGCCTGGCCCACCCACAGGGCCATTCACTGCCTCCATGGCCCGCCGCAGATCACCCAGCCAGCCCAGCAGCGCCATGGCGGCCATGCCCTCTGCCCGTACCCTGCAGCATCAACTGTACACGATGGGGCGCGAGGGCGGAGTCTTGTCCCCATGCCTGGCTGCCATGTCCTTGGCTGTGCTGTTCCATGTGGGCCGCACTCGGGGGCAACTCTCTTCGGGGGGGGCTGCTGGTGAGGGGGCCGCGGGAGGAGGTGGGGCTGGGGCGACGGCGCACATGCCCACAGAGAGGGCTCCGAGTGCCGCCTGTGGCATGCGTGCCATAGGTTCGCCACCACTGGTCTAGGTCCTCTTGCTGTTGCTGTATTTGAGTCAGGCACACCTCCACTAAGTGCTGACAGTAAAGAAGGAAATTGCAGGTAGTTTTCTAGTTATGACCATGATAGGGAGGCTCCATGACAGCTCATTATAACGGAGCCTGCTCATCACTGCCACAACTCCTGACTCATAAATCAAGTCATCCATGTGATAAACCCGATTTTATCATCTCTTTCGTGATAGTTGTTAAGGGGATCAACACGGTTGCTAAGTGAACACCATGGTTATTAAGTGAACCAAAAGTTTGTTACGGACTGAAAACCGAAGTAAATGCCAGTTGTTGGCAAAAACGTTGTGAAATGCAGCCACATGACTACAGAACATTGAAAATGACCAGAAATGCAGACAGACTTTTCAACAATGCAGTCATGTAACTTTGAGGGAAAATCTTCTGAACTTTTGATGCAGTTTATAAGTAACCACAGGGAGGTCTGTTGTAACACTGAATGATCACTAAGCGACGTAAGTTGAGGACTAACCGTATTAGCTGTCAGAGCAGAAGTTGTGTTGGCCACAGTGGGAAAAAGAGAGAAAATGATTCCTTATCCATTCCTTGAGGCAGACTGTTTGCAAGCTGTTCACAGAAGAGCCAAACGGCACCAAGGTGATTATTTTTAGTGTTTCCCTCATAAACACAAATAGTCCTCAACTTACAACCATTCATTTAGTGACCGTTAACAATGGCACTGAAAAAAAGTGACTTTTTCACTCATATGACTCTTGCAGCATTCCTATGGTCAGGTGATCAAAACTTGGATATTTGGCCACTGGTTCACCTTTGTGACAGTCACAGCGTCCTGGGATCGATTGTGTGTGATCCGCTTTTGCGACCTTCTGACAAGCAAAGTCACGGGGAAAGCCAGATTCACTTAACAACTGTGTTTCTAACTGAACAACTACAATGATCCATTTAACATCTGTGGCAAGGAAGGGCGTAAAATGGGGTAAAACTCACTTAACCGTCTCGCTTAACAACAGAAATTTTGGGCTCAGTTGTGGTCACAAGTAGAGGACTATCTGTAATCGATGCTCAACTGCTCTGCTCAGCTTAAAAAATGGTGGGATTTTGTGTAGCCTACGTGGGCTACACAATTTCCCTCATCCCAATGAAGGCTGAACGGGATTGCGGCCTGCGTCGGATGAGAACCAACTTCGCCAGGGTTGCACAATGCCACACGTTGCTTCCAAACAAAACTAGGACTGGCCAAAGCGCTCACATTTTGGGGGAGGGGGGAACAAAGAAAAACAAATATCAGCATCTGTGTTATTCGGAAATCTTTGCTCTCAGGCCCTTGTGCTTCCTGGTTGGAAAAAGCCCTTTGTTTTCTTTTTCCTTTTTTCATTCTTTTGTGGTGACCAGCCTTCTCCAAGAGGACGCTTCAGCTCTTCCTATTCCCAGGTTTAGGCTGAGTTGGTGCGAATTGTGCGAATTGGGCCAAGGGAATGTCAGTTTAAAGTAGCTTGCTGGAATCTGCACTTAGTCGTACACAAGTGGTCCTAAACTTATAACTCACCATTAGTTTAGCGACTGTTCAAACGGCACTTTAAAAAGTGACCTACAACTGCCACAGCATCCTCACGGTGATGTGGTCAAAATTTGGGCACTTAGCAACTGGCATGTATTTATGATTGTGTCCCGGGGTCACAATCATTGCCATTTGTGACTTCCTAGCCGGCTTCTGACAATGAGGGAAGCAGGGTTCGTTTAAAAATGTGTGATTCAGTTAATAAAATAACTGCAGTCATTTGGTTAACAGCCATTGCAAACCGTCCATAAAATATGCAGTGATTCACTTAAAAATGGTCTTGTTTAGCCATGGAAATTCTTGTCCCGTGGTCATAAATCGAGGACTAACTCTATTGTTCCCCTACAACAGTGTTTCTCAACCTCAGAAACATTAAGGTGTATTAATTTCAACTCCCAGAATTCCCCAGCAGCATGCTGGCTGGCGAATTCTGGGAGTGAAATCCACAATGGTTCTCCTTGTTGTTAATTTATTTTTGAAAACTCCTGAAAATTTAATTATTTCAGAGAGATGGGGTGATGGGACAGTTGCCATTTTATTTCTAACTTTAACTTTTATGATAATGCAGTGGGGTTTTTTTTAATGTTGCATATAGTTCCTATGGATGATTGTGGGGTTTTAAAATTATACCATGAATATTTTCCATTTATTCTTTTCATTCTATGAAAGCCACCAAGAATCTCTTGGATCACAACAGGATATAAATACACTTAATAAATCAATAAATAAAATGGCCTATGCAGGATAGCTTACCCCAGGCATATATTCCACGAAGATGGATAGTTTTCTCTCCTCCGGATCGCGCAGACAGCCGTAATATTGTACTATTCTCTCGTGACGGAGGGTTTTAAGCAATTGGATCTCACATTCCAAGGCATTCACTTCCTGAAATAAATCCAAATTGATTACTGAATGAAAAGCAGATTGGTAGATACAGCAAAATCAGATACAGTGAACGGATGGATCTAGCAATAAAATTTAACTTCTTTGGTGTTCCCAAGTCCCGACCTTGCAAGGAATAAACAATGAGTGAACTGATATGGATTTTTTTTTTTTGCTTTTTTCTGGGCTGCTTAAGAGAAGGACAGACATGTGCAATCATTTTGTCCCACGGGTGCAAAACGGCCACCCAGAAGTGTGAACTCAACCACTTTGCACCTAAGTGAAGCCAACATCTTTCTGTTTTCAATGGTGGCTGGTGTTAAATGAGTTTTGCCTCATTTTACAACCTTTCTTGCCACAGTTGTTAAGTGAACCATTGCAATTGTTAATTTAGTAACACAGTTGTTAAGTGAATTTGGCTTCCCCACTGACTTTGTCAAAAGGTCACAAAAAGTGATCACATGACCCTGGGATACCGCAACTGTCATAAATATGAGTCAGTTGCCAAAAATCTGGATGTTGATCACGTGACCTTAGGGGAGGCTGCAATGGTCATAAGTGTGAGAAATGGTCCTAGGTCACTTTTTTCAGTGCCGTTATGTAACTTTGAATGGTCACTAAATGAACTGTTGTAAGTTGAGGACTTCATGCATCCACAGTGGTGGAACCCTGTTAAAGGTGATGGGAGATAGTTAAAATTGACTTCTTTGATTAGAGAAAATATAATATATAATATAAATATATTTATAATACAAATATAAAATATTTATTGTTGACGGGAGCCCCTTTATGGACTAAATCGAAAAAGAACAATGAACTTATGATTTATGGTTTTGCTGATGGATTATAGAAAGAAGAGTTATACTGCAACCATAAAGAGGCAACTTCATAATTGTGGTTATAACTGCAACAAAGAAAATCAGAAGCTACTACTTCGTATTTTTTTTCTTCCTTTTCTATTTTTATTTTATTTTTTCCCTCTTTCTTGCCTGATCAGCTTTCTCTTTCATTTCTTTTCCTTACTTTATATTAGTTTGTAATCTTCCTTTTTAAAAACCTTTTGTGAAAATTAAAGTGCATGGAGACACGGACCAAGTGTCTTAGTGTTTATCCCCGGCATAGAGTACAATAGACCTCGACTTACAACCGTAACTAAACACAACAGTTTTGTTGCTAAGCAAGGCAGTTGCTAAGCGAGTTCTGCCCCATTTTACGATCATTTGGCCACAGTTGTTAAATGAATCGCTGCAGTTATTAAGGGAATCATGTAGTCATTAAGTGAATGAAGACAAATATACAGAATATGTCCCAGGACAGGGGTAGGCCACCTTGGCTCTTTTATGACTCATGGACTTCAACTCCCAGAATTCCTGAGCCAGCATGGCTCTGCTTGGAAACCTCTCCATTTCTCCTCAGCATGGCTGGCTCAGGAATTCTGGGAGTTGAAGTCCACCAGTCACAAAAGAGCCAAGGTGGCCTCCCAGGATAATATTGCAGGATCCAATCTGGGTCAGTCCCAGTGAGTGACCCAGATTTGGATCCTGCAGTCTATTAAGTAAATCCAGTGGTCCCCAATATCACTTTGTTTGCCGGAAGATGAATGGGACGGTTACAAATGGGGACCACGTGACCCTGGGACACGGCAACCACGGTCAATACACACCAGTTGCCAAGAGCCCGAATTTTGTTCATAGGACCACAGGGAGGCTGCAACGGTTTTTATGTGTGAAAAGCAGTCATGTGTAACTCTTTTTTTAGTGCCGTTGTAACTTTGAATGTTCACTAAGCAAATGATTGTAAATCAAGGAGTAGCTGTATTGAGAGCTACCTTGTTTCCAAAGCCAGCATTATTGCATAGCCTAAGAGCAAAGGCACTGACATATTTAAAAGGGTGGTGTTTTTTGCAAGTACAATCATTCATCTTTTAAGTGACAGTTCAAAGTTACAGCGGCATTGAAATAAGTGACTTTTGCAGCATCTTCATGGTCACGTGATCAAAATTCAGACACTTGGAGAGAGAGAGAGAGAGAGAGAGAGAGAGAGAGAGAGAGAGAGAGAGAGAGAGAGAGAGAGAGAGAGAGAGAGAGAGAG